TTTATAATGCTCACATTTATATTCCCACATACAAATTAAATATTCATGATCCCCTACATTTGGCAGCAATGGAGGCCAGTCGAGCACCACCAGTTGATGTGTTGTTGAATTAGCATATTAATGGTATAATTAACATGTGGGAGTGGATTATTCACGTGAATCATTGTCAGATCAGTCGGAGAGAAGAAAGGGTCAGGCTAATGAGGTTAAAAGGCACATTAACGAGTGCTTTGAATGAAATTTGCCATGTGATTTTAGTGCAGAAAACTGGTAAAAGCTCTAGGCTATGAGACTGAAATCAGTGGCTTTTTTGTGCTTCTTTAATGTTTTTTACTTTAATGGTGAAATCGCTGTAAAATCAAGTTTAGCAGCAACACAATATCGAGCTTTGATCACAAACACTATACCTGCCTCATTCAGTCGTCGTTGTTTTTTTTTTTTTTTAGAGAGCTTGGGCTGCTCCTTTTTAAAGGAGGAGCGCTGCTGTTTCTCTTACTCTGGGCCTGTGGCAGTGTTTGTTCTTCTAAGGGGCTTAGACAGAGCGACGAGCAAACCAAATGTAACACGGTTTGACAGGCCTTGACTCCAAGTGGCAGCCTAAAACACATGTAAGCCTAATCCGAGCCAGTATAGGCTTTCTAGGGATCTCGACTTAGTCAGCAGAATGCACTTGCAAACTAGCAGGCACACAGATAAAGTCCTAATGGATTAAGGCGAGGTGAAAGCGCATTAAAGAGATCGAAATGCAACCACTGACTTCAAGATCCCATTTGGACACGGTCGCTGACGGTTAATTCATGGATTATTTCCTCTCTGGGCAACATTGTTTGGTCAGATATGTGAGGTAGGGCTGTAAATAATGATTATTTTCATTATTAATGAAGGCCCTTCAACCCCTTTTTAATAATTAATCATTGAATCATCATTTAGTCTATACAACATAAAAAAATTCAAATGCCTAACTCAAGTTCCCAAAAGCTGTAAAAGCTTTGGCCTGATGGATGGTACTAGATAAAGGGTTAACAGAAGTTGACCCAAACAGACCAAAATAGCGAGACAACATCAACAGCAACACTGGCACCAGCATAATGCGCCTCCAGTTAACAGGCAGCGGCGGTTGAAAGAGTAACAATGCAGATCATTTTTCCTACAGGTCATAGTTCACGCGCCTTTGTATTGATTCTATTTGGATCCACTCCGGTAGTAGACATATTGACGCATTAACCTGAGACCCAAACGCATACAAGGGGACCATATTTAGCCTGGATCAGACTGAATATAATATGGACCCGTCCCAACTCGGGTCATGGGTCAGGTTCGGGGTTGGAGCTTGGTTACTTGAAACCACGTCTGCTTTCTGTGTTTGGATAAAACGTAGTATTGCTTATAATAAGTCAAATTTAGCATTAACAAATGTTGCACAAATAAAATAATTAAATGATAAAAGTTTTGATCTTCTCATTTTATGATGATTTTTAATTGATTTCCATTTTCACATTTGTGATCAAAGTCTAGGTTATTTAAATATAGGGGGCGCACGTGAGAAAAATCACTATTGTCAGTGAATATAGTGTTGCTCGTTGAGCTGTTGAGATTTTTAGCAACTGGGACCTTTTCACCTCTGTCCCAGTTTCATTACGTTCTCTCAGCATCTCTCTCTTTATGACCTTCACATGTGCTGAGAATAACAAGCGTTGTGATGGAGACAAGTGCTGCCATGTTAGCCCTGCGAAGACACGATGATACACGGCATCAGTATTAAAGCACCACCTCTCCACCAGAGACCCTTCATTTTTACTCCGATATTTGCTCTCTGTTCCTTTGTTGATGCATTTGTCAGTCTCGATTCCCTCGCCCCTCTGGTTTTCTCTCGAGAAGACTGACATTACAAACACCGTTTTTTTCCCCCCTCTCTGTGTCTCTTTGTTGTTGTGTTTGCTGTTTGTTTATCCATGTGCACATGGCTCTTCCAGACTGCCATCTTTATGTAATGTCTAGTTCGGGGATGATAGTTTGGTCAGGAATAGCAGCGTCCTCGCTGTGACCCAGTGGGCCTGGTGTCACAAAGAATCAAACTGCGTGTGTTTGGGTGTGTCACAAAGGATCAGAGTTTGCCTTTTGGTGGCTGGAGTGCTGGTCATTGCAGGCCATCTGGAAACTGTGTCTAACAGGTTCAATAGGCAGACAGTGTGTGTGTGTTCATGTCATATCAGAGCATCAGCAGGTCTGCTTTTGTTGAGTTTATGCAATAGGATATTCATGCACCAGTGGTGTCCACTTAGACTTGCTATGTTTGTGTGTGTGTGTGGCATGTGTGTGCATTGGTCCGTTTATAGGATTTTCCCCCTGCTATGCCTGGTCTTGTGCTCTGCGTCAGCTGTGTGGTAGAACAGCCTCGAATGACATCTTTCCCTCCCGATTTGTACTCGCCGTTCTCTTTTTCTGGCACAACAGGACACATTTCGCAAATCCTAGCAAATGGGACAAAACAACAACAAATCAATTCCCTCAAGTGCAAGCACCTTTTCCTGTCTCCTCAGTGCATCATTTGGCGGTTAGCCAGCCCAGACAGTTGACAGACAGATAGTCAGAGGCAGACGGTTGACAGGCAGTTAGAGACAGATAGACAGACAGACAGACAGCAGCTGGCTTGTGGATCGACGGGCGGGAAGCTTTCATTTCACAGCAGAATAAAAAAAAAAAAACGGCGACTTGAAGCTGAATAATTTAGTTTACTGCAGCTGGGAAAGTCACTTGGATAATTCATGCATTGGGCTCACTTTGTGAGTGTAAGTGTGTTTGCTGTGATTGCCTCTGTGCGTGTGAGTGATTGGGCTAAGAATGAATTACAAAAAGTAGGCAAGTTTTGGGTCTGTGTGTGCACGCGGTCGGCCTTTCAATGGATTACAAAGTCAGATGTGCACTTGTGACAAATCCCTTGTAAAGATAGTGTTTCTGCAGCTCGAGGGATAACAAGGAGTTGGCGAAGCTTCAGCATTAAATGCAGAAAGACGCAGACTAACACGCACACACACACAGAGTGTCTAGCTGCTGTTTGATTTCATCAGCAGACTTGATCTCAATGTCAACATGAGAGAGTGGGTGGATGTAATTCAACTGAATCCTCTCTTGGGTTGTGGGCTACTCTGCCAGAAAAAAACCTTAAAAACTCAAACACCTCTGGCAGTCAACCTCTGGTTTGCTGCTGATATTTGTCTTTGAGTATAGCTTATACAGTCTAATAGTAAAGTTCATCGTTTTTCATTAAAGGTTTAAACTGATTTTCACCCAAACTTTAATTCCCGACACATCTGATAGTTGTGTTTCCTGCTGCAAGATGACACTGCTGTAAATGAGCTCCTCTTACAATGAGGAGCATTCAGAAAATGCTTCTGCTATAGAAAGTATAGGAAACATTGGGAAGAAAACAAAATTTGCTGATTAAAATGTATTTTTACTGATTTTACTGAGTTTGTTATCATTGAGTTTAAAAATATTTTTTGTTCCCAGTTTTTTGATTTTCAACTCACTGTTAGTTGTTAGTTTGCTCAACGATTGAGCCATATTCATTAGGAAGCAAACTCCAATAAATCTGTCAAATAAAATGTCACTTATTGGATTTACTGAACAGTAACACAGCATCCATGAAACACTGTCCACAGTGTTTGTACTCTGGATCTCTGGGTGCAACTCACAGTGTCTTTAAATTGGGCTGGATTAAATGTAATCCCTCTGCAGCGGCAGGAAATTCTCTCAGTGCTTTTTGGACGGTGCGTTCAGGTACACTGGACGAGCCCTGCAGGCAGAAGAAATGAAATTCTCTCTAAACACTTTAGCTGTAGCGGGATCCTTCTCAGTTCTGCATGGCGGGGACTCTTGTTATACGTTTTCACTCCAAATCCCAGTGAAGCTGTCTTTTTTTCCCCCGCGTGTGTGTGTTCATGTGTGAACGAATGTCTGTGTGTGCTTGCATACGCCGCGGTTTCAACGGGCTACTTTTGCTGTCTGTTTGGGAGTGTGTGTCATCTGTGCATGTGGGTGGATTGGTCAGTGTTTACATATCTGTGCTCCTATGAACATCAGTGTGCAGTAGTGGACATATGTGTGTACATGCAGGTTTAAGTGTGTGGTTAATTTATCTGTGTGTGTGTGTGTCAGTGGGATGCAGCTCTCTTTTAAAGAGCTGGTTTAAAGAGCTGTCAACTGACACACTCACTCTCAAAGTAGCGTTCATGCTAATGGACTATCAGCATCTCTCTGTCTCTACCTCTTTATTTATCCTCCTTTCATATTTCTGGCTTTGCAAACTAAAATCTTAACACAATATGTTTATCATATGATCTCAAAACCGCATCCAAACCTATTGGATTAAAGACTTCTCCAGACTGGTATTATAACATATAAAGAGTCTACTTGGAACAGTAATGTACACTACCAGTCAAAAGTTTGGACACACCTTCTCATTTAATGTTTTTTCTTTATTTTCATGACACTGAAGGCATCAGAACTATGAATTGAACACATATGGAATTTATTATTCAACAAAAAACTGGTGAAAAACTCAAAACATGTTTTGATATTTTAGATTCTTCAAAAATAGCCACCCTTTGCTTTTGATTACTGCTTTGCACACTGCTTGGCATTCTCTCGATGAGCTTCATGAGGTAGTCACCTGAATGGGTTTTCCCAACAGTCTGGAAGTTCCCAGAGATGCTGAGCACCTGTTTGGCCCCTTTTGCCCTTCACCTCTGCGGTCCATCTCATTCCCAAACCATTTCTGATTGGGTTTAGGGTCCAGGTGACTGGACTGATTGACCATCACTCTCCTTCATTAGGTCAAAATTAGCCCTTACACAGCTTGGATGTGTTTTGGGGTCATTGTCCTGTTTGGAAAAATAAATGACGGTCTAACTAAACGCAAACCGGATGGGGATGGCATGATGCTGCAGGATGCTGGTGGTAGCCCATGCTGGTTCAGTGTCCTTACATTTTGAATGCGGATGCCCCCAACCAGTGTCACCAGGCAAGCACCCCACGACCATCACACCTCCTCCTTCATGCTTCACGGTTGGGGAACCGATGCTTGTAGAGACCATCGCTTCACTTTTCTGGCATCGCACAAAGACAACGGCGGGTTGAACCAAAGATCTCAAATTTGACTTCGATTCTGAACCCATATAGCGAGCAGATTGTGTGTTATGCACTGTCTTGATATGTCGACTCTTTGGTTGTTTTTTCGTTATTGCCCGATATATTTAGGACAAATTCTTTTTTATATTCTCTGCTTGTTGCTTTTCCTGTAGTAGTGTATTTTTTTAGCAGCTAGGTTTGACCATTGAAAGGCGGCCTGATTCACGCAGTCTCCCTCTGAACAGTTGATGTAGAGGATGTGTCTGCTACTAGAACTCCTGTGTGCCTTCATCCTGGTCTCTAAATCTGATGTGCTGTTAACTTGCGGATTTTTGAGAGTCGGGGTGTGACTCGGGGTAGGGTGATGGACTTTATGTTCCTCAGCAGCAGATGGTTGTACTCTTGGTTTCCTTTTTCCTTGCTTTGGGGGTCCTCAGGTGTGAGCCAGTTTCGTGGGTGTGATATGCGTCAGGTTGTTTTGAGTGGGTTTTTTGCTATTTCTTTGGTGATAGTTGGTGCACTTCTAAAAGAGTTGTGGCAGAGAGGTTGTTGTGTTATTTATTGGGCCGAGATTTGTTGTGGACTTGACCTTCAGTGTGGTGGGTTAAGAGGTACTGATGAATGGGTTGGGTCTTTCTTCTTTGGTACTTAGTCTGAGTTGGTGTCTGCGCTGGATAATATTTATATTTGGCG